GAAAGCATAAGTGCTTGTACATGTAAGTACGCAACCAGACCCGACGGCTTTAGGTCCTCTCCGAGGGACCTGGTAGTATGCCTTTATGCCTTTACCAAAGGGCACTAGCGCATCGCCTTGGTTTCGAACCTGGGTCACCGGATAACGAGACCACTGCTCTACCAACTGAGCTATCGCGCCTCCTCTTATGTTAATTGAGAGCTGATTTGATGAGATAACCACCTGTCAGTGACCTTGTAGGGAGGTCTAATCCCCCCTGGCCAAACTAGTGCAGATGGGCTTTATAGAAACGCTAGAAAACGACATATATTAAGAAACGTTGAATATAGAAGCTAATTTTGAAGAGGTCTATTGACTTGACAGCTGGTCAATCATCAGTACTAGTTTGGCCAGGAGGGATTAGACCACCCAGCGTGGTCACTGACAGGTGGCTATCTCATCAACTCCGCTCTCAATTAACATAAGAAAAAGAGGATCATGGGGAACCAACGGGCACCGCTTAGGCATTGTTTTCTATATAGAGGGAGTAAGTAGCTACATGTACAAGTAGTACACTGGGGCTTTAATATATGATGTTCTGATAAATACGATTTTTTAAAATAAAATAAGATATGATTCTTTATCGAATTTTCGTTCAACAACAAAGTTCAAACGACATTCAGATTAGGAATTAGTAATTACTTATTGTATACATGTACATGTAGGTATAGCTTTTGGTAACCTGAACACAGAGTTAGAAAACTGCAATGCAACACCTCTACTGACCACATAACCACTACAGCACCAAAGGGAAAAGAAAGAAAAGAACTACACAGGAGCGATGCATAATGTATGTACATAGCTTTAGACCTCTTGGAAATTAAATCATCATAGGTCTGATGAAGATATAAGAAATGTTTGTTTGTTTGTTTATTTTATTCTAGCACGGTGGCATACTTCAGCCAATAAAAGCAATCACAATTTTACAAAGAAACATACATTGTAGATTAAAGATAAAGACCAGTTATTTAAGTCAGTCAGGAATCCCATGACTTTTACAAGCCAATCGCTTGTTTGATTATCAAGATATTTATGATTGAAATTCAAAATTTCTAAAACCAACCTCTGGTACAATTTTGAATTTATAACAGTCAGCATGCCTCCTTTTTTTATTACTCCAGTCTGAGTGTGCTAAGAGATTTGGCTGTGTCTTCATCCAGTTCTTATAGCTGCAAGAAGATTACGTCCCTTCATTTCTCTCAATCGTTCAGATTTTTATTTTATGATAATTATTCTATTTCAGCTCAAGAAAACACCTGTCGGAATATTTGTCTGATTTCCTTCCCCACCATACGATGTAAAGAATTACTTGTTACTCAATATGGAAATACATGAATGGATTAAGAAGAATCTTAGCTTAAAGCCCCTCTGCATTAGTTTGGCCAGGAGGGATTAGACCTCCCTGCATGGTTACTGACAGGTGGTTATCTCATCAACTCAGCTCTCAATTAACATAAGAAAAAAAGGATCATGGGGGACCAACGGGCACCGCTTACCGGTATGCATTGTTTGCTATATAGAGGGCGCAAGTAGCTATAAGTAGTGCAGTGGGGCTTTAAGGGAGAGGGTAGTATAGGCCTATGTGCATACAGATGAGCTTACTTCTTGTGTATTAAGAGCTAGAGAGGCCTTAACACTGTTTATTATACATGCATACAAGTTAATACCCTTCTGGTTCCAAACTGATGGTTTAGTGGTCAGAATGTCAGAAAAGTCTCTACGAAACTGCTGTCTTTATTTATGAGGCGCCGTTTGTAAAACAATTATATAGACAAATTATATGTTATATAATCATTATTTAACAAATAATAACCATTATTTACATATAATGCAAGAAAATGTACATTTTTATTTGTATATAATTCTTAACACATTTTTATTATTTATAAATAATGACAAAGAACGTTTCATTATTTATATATAATTGCCATTATTTATAAATAATTACAATTCACACTTTCATTATTTATATATAATAAAAAGCGTATTTCAATTATATAATATATAATGAAAAGCACATTTCCATTATATAATATATAATGAAAAGTCATTTCAATTATATAATATATAATGAAAAGCGTATTTCCATTATATAATATATAATGAAAAGCACATTTCCATTATATAATATATAATGAAAAGCGTATTTCCATTATATAATATATAATGAAAAGCACATTCCATTATATAATATATAATGAAAAGCACATTTCAATTATATAATATATAATGAGAGGCGTATTTCCATTATATAATATATAATGAAAAGCACATTTCCATTATATAATATATAATGAACAGCGCATTTCCATTATATAATATATAATGAAAAGCGCATTTCCATTATATATTAAATAACGATTGTGTATGCAAATGTCAATGGTTGGTAACGCCCATAATATGAATATTCATGAGCTTGACTGATATTATTATCCTCTATTCCAGGCACCTTTCCATTTTGTGTTCTTTGTGCATTCTTATCAGAAATCCTACGTGCGGTAAATAAGTCTCTGTATCACCATTCTCCTTCTTATTTGTATGCAGATTTGGTTATAATGATTGATAACTGTAATCATCCTCATTATTTTAATAAGAAATTTTTCTATCTGTGATGGAAGTTTTTATGTAGGCTACGATTGCCTGATCTGAAGACAAGACTTTCGCTGCATGCATATTTAATGTATGACGTCACCCACACAGAGTGAGAGCTCGAGGTTTTCTTTGAAAGTTTGATGGTGAGTACAGCTGTAATTACGTTCAAATCTCGTAAATTGAATCATATTTATAAACATATCTGCTGTAGGTATGAATCTGCTGATTTGTCTGTACATTGTGAAGTGGTTTAAAATGGTTATATCTGATGAATTTAGGAGTTATATACACTCGAACTTTTGATTCGTTATTTATCGTCGTGAGAATATTTCAGCTCGATTGCCATCGTCACTCCTTGATCCTTGGCCCAAACTTTCGGGCGAGACCCTCTCTGAAAATTAGATACGAGTATAGGGTCTATAGGCAGATCACTTCACTAGCGCTAGCTGCATCAATGATCCAAGCTTTTTGTTACTTTTAGGTCCAACTGTTGAAAAACTACTTTCATAGTTGGGTCAGAAGAAAGTTAATAGCTAACACTAAAAAGCATGGTCACAGTTGACATGAGTTGTGAACAAGCGCCAAAATTTGGACCAGATACCGAGATAGTTAGACGAGTACGAGAGTAGAAAATTTGAGGCCTATAGGCCTACAGACCAGTAAATAATTGGACTACCTGTGAACAGGCGCGGATCCAGGATTTCTTAGGGGGAGCCCAAATTTGAAAAAAAATCTGCACCACCCCACTCGATCAAGTAGAGCGTTGTGAAATTGGCGTGGTGTCTAAGGGCAAAGAACGTGCGGGGGTCAAGGGGTGGAACCCCCAGAAGCTCAGGGGTATAGGCATTTAATTGCGGTCAGATGAGCATATTAGCATAACTTATTTGTGACACTGGCAGGACACTAATTGGCGTCACTATTCTTTCTTTCTTTATGAATTTGCCATTGTCCCACAAACGCATTAAAAAGTATAATTTATTAAACATTAAGGAAAAATCTCGGAAAATTATGTCATTTCAGCAACATTTGTAAATCACCGGTAATCACCGGTATCGAATTAGAAATAAACCACGTTTGAATTATATTTGGGGGGCATCTGTTAACCCCCCCCCCCCCCAAGTCCCCTTCCCTATCAGTACGCCAGTGCCCCTCCCCCCCCCCGATCTACACGTAACTGATCTCCCCTACCTTTCTTCTTTCTCTTTTTTTCTTTCCCTTTCTCTCCTATTTCCCTTTCCTTTCCCTTCCTACTCTCTGTTTTAGGTTCGCTAGGGGGAGGCAAGGGCCTTTTGGCCCCCCCCTCCCCGATCCACACATTGTTGGCGGGATTAATCGCAACTGTTATCCCCTTCTTATCTCTCTTTTCTTTTCTTTTTCCTCTTTTTTGTTCCCTTTTAGCTCTCCTCTATCCCTTTCCCTTTCCCTTCCTTCTCCTTTTTTTTTTGGGGGGGGGGGGAAGGGAGGAGGAGGCAAGGGCCTTTGCCCCCCCCCCCCCGAACTACAACTTGTTGGCGGGAAAATTGCAACTGATTTCCCCCTTCTTTTCTTCTTCCTATTTTTTCCTTCTCTTTATCCCCTCTTTACTTTTTTTCTTTCCCTTTTCTTCCTTCTCTTTTATTTTTGAGGGGGAGAGGTTACAGCTGGGAGGCAAGGCTCTTTCGGCCCCCCGATCTCCTTCTTTTCCCCCTTTTCTTTTCCTCTTCCTCTTCTTTCTTTCCCTTTCTCTCCTTTTTCCCTTCTTTTCCTTCTATCTCTCTCTCTCTTTTTATTTTTTGCGGGTGGGGGGGGGGGGGGGCGGCCCCCCTGGATCCGTGCCTGCCTGTGAATGTGATACTCTTAGTCGTACAGAGTCTTATAGCTGTCTAACACATTAAAACAGGATCCCCCCAAATTAGACTACACTGTATACAGGGGTACGTATAGTGGTGCCTGTGTGTTTCTTAAACTCTTTGTTGGCTTAGCCTAATTTGCCTCTGCTCTAGGCTCTATCTTTGAATTTTTGTTTGCTGTAAACACGATTAAGTTTTCTCTGTCATATATAGATCTAGGTCCATATCTATTTTGCGTTTTTTCAATTTGATAGAATGAACAGTTACGAGACATGCATCTAGATCATCTAGAGACTGTAGATCAACTAGATCTGGATCAAGGAATTGAATATAAATTTCAATGTTAGATAATGAAGGAGGGCTTTTTTGGTAAAGAGAAAATCCAAAAGAGAACAGTTAATTCTGCAAATGCTCATCAATGTTTTAATGATCATGCTTATTTCCTTTTATTCTAAGAATTAAACCCCCCCCCTCTCTTTTACAGGAAAATGTACAGAGACTTGTCGCAGTTAATGCAGTACCAAATGCTTGCTTTCTTATGAGTATGTGCTTGAAACAAGAATGTCCTGGAGAAAATAGACCACCACAAGAGAAGGTAAACATATTTACTTTTGATCTAACTTGATCTGTTTAGTTTTTTCAAGTAAAACAAAATTTTGAATAGGTGAGGTCAAGGTCAAACTGAAGGGGATGCAAAGGGCTGGTTTGAGAAGTATGTATTCCCCGGCCCCCCCACTCAGTGTTATTTAGGGTACGCATATGCTCGTTCCCTATTTTTTAAAGCACCCCCTATCTGAGGACTGCCAACATTTTCGAACCCCCCTTTCGCGGGCTTTTCGCGGCCTTTTCCTGCTTTGGAGACCCCCCTAAATCAGGAAAAATGCTCAATGTACCCCCCTAAATTCGGAATAATTTCTCAGGAGTCCAAAGAGATAAGAAAAAAAAAGAAAAAACACCCCTTTTTTGAAGAAATCTCCGGGTGAAAGTCAAATACACCCCTTTTTTTACAATTCTCGGGCCGGACTTTGTCGCACGAAAAGTACCCCTTTACCGGACATTTTGGCAACACGCATGCGGTCATTCCGACCCCTGAGTGAGGGGGCCGGGATGTATTCATGGGATGGCTATGTATGAATCCACATGTCTACTAACACGTTGCTGAAGTGTTTCTCTTTTTAGAATTAACATTTTAAGCTCATGTGCAGGGGGAAAAGGGGGGGGGGGGGGGTCCAATACATGAAAAGGAACGACAAGCAAAAAAACAAAAAACAATTGACCTTCAAATTTTGCTGAAAAAGTAATTGTTAAAGACAACTAAAATATTAAATAGTGCTATTTATTTCAAATTTGGTTAATATTTATTGAATTGTTTATAATTCTGTTCCAGGGATTGAGAAGGAGGGCTTCCTGTTGACAGATCAGGGGGTGCCTTGAGGTTCCACTCTTGATGTTCTGCCCCTTACCTGAAAGCGATGGCCTCTTGTGCCTGACATATTAGGAGCAAAGCACAATGGACTGGTAATTAATAATGAATATTACAATGTTTTTTTTTTAAATCTGGTAAAGAAACAGATAAAGTCATAGCAACTGAGCCTGTCATGGCATTTCGAGTGACCAAACATTTGCTCCTGCAACGACTGCTCAAGGCTTTATTTGTCAAATGTGTAGGGTTAGGCCGAGGGTTGCAATTGGGATTGAGGTTAGGTGTAGGGTAAGGTCTAGTGTTGGATCCCGGGATGAAGTTCAGTATTTGGATAATAGTGTAGGAAATTGATGTTGAGCAAATGTCTTGAGGAACAAGTGTCGTACAATCAGATTTTTCAGGTGCTGGTGGAGCTGTATGTATTGATACTCATCATTGGCAGTTTAAAAATCTTCCTTTGTATTAGTAAACTAAAAATACGCTGATCCCCAGTTTGTGAAACGACCTGCTCTATTGTTTAGTGGTTATGTTGTAACACAAAATGAATTCTTAATCTTAATCCTGGATCCATAGCTAAACGTAATATTAACCCTAAAGCTAATCTAAAACCCTATCACAACTTGAGCAATAACCATATATCTTGATGAAATAAAGCTTGTGTTAAGCATTGGCAGACCCAAAGTCAGGTTATCCTAAATTCCTTTCTACATACTGCTATTGTACAAAGTTGATATTTAAGTACATCCCATTGCAAGTTCTAAAATTTCTGTAAAAACCTTACCCTGCTGCAAGATGATAGTGTTTGAAGTAAGTTGGCTCATAGTAGAGCATGAATTATTACCTGCAATTCTCAACCAATACACCCTTGCCACCTGCAATCCATCTCACTTTCATAATATATTCTTTAAACAACATTAACTGAAGTTCAAAATTTTGATTAGTGATTAAGAAAGGCTACAAAGAATTGTATTCTTTTTTCACACTCGTATAATAGAGGGGGAGGGGGGGGGGGGCAGCCTAGCAGTACAAGATCATATTATCTTATATGATTATATCCTGCAAGTGTGATAAAGAAAAATCACCATATGTTTGTGTACTAAAAGTGAAACAAAAACAAATCACTGGAAACTTTTGGTTGTTAATAACTCAAAAGTTACACTCAAATCAAAACGAGGTTTTCAAAGCTTAAAGTTTAAGGATGTAAATTCTATGCCATTTCTATGAATGCTAATTGCTATTCTTAAAGCCCCACTGTCCTACTTGCTCTCTCTATATAGAAAACTTCCCCAATCGGTGTCTGTTGGTCCCCCATGATCCTCTCTTTCTTATGTTAGTTGAGAACTGAGTTGATGAGATAGCCACCTGTCAGTGACCTGGCTGGGTGGTCTAATCCCTTCTGGCCCAGTAGTATTGACGGTCTTTAAAACAATGATCGGAATGTTTGATTAGATCTTTTACTCAGACATGTAGTATATTAGTAATAAAATACATGTTTGGCAATATGGTATTTCATTTCAGACCATAATGAGATCTGGGATCTCTCGTTGGCACGGAAAATAAGGAATGTACTCCTGTTGAGCAAACAATGAATTTATATAAAACTAATAGCCCTTTGAAGATTACTAGAAGAAGAAAAACAACAAGAAAGAAGAAAAAGAAATATACTTGTGATGTCAGCTTTAGATCTTAAAGTGCTTGTAACAATATTGGATTTTTTTTTCTTCTTTCAATTAACATTTTATTCATGAACAGCTGGCTTATTGGAATTGGTTACAAAGATACAAGTGGACTTGTCTGTAGTAGTTGCTGAAGAGGAGCAGTCAGCACAAGGAGCGTGTGCCTCCAAAACAACGTGGGAACTTCTCCCAAGTTCATCTCAAATCACAAGGCTCTTCAGGAATCAAGATGTAACAATGGAGGTTGAGAAGGAGTTTGCGACCCTCCTGATTTGGACTACTCGCTATATACATTCTCAAACAATGGATTGTAGCACTTCTGCACAAAACTCAACAAGTCATGATTGAGGAAAATGCAACAAATACTCAGTTGAGCATTGATTTATGTGACTGGTATTAGGGTAGGATTCAGCTTGGTAATTTTATATAAACTATGTCCCAAAAGAACCTCATTGGTCCTTATGGTTCCACGCCACAAGCTGCTCCCTCCCCTGTTTCGGTATACCGAACCCAGACTATCAAGGGATCAAATGAATTAAAATCCACACTTGATTACAAATGAATTGATCTTTTGAATATTGACATCATTTCAGGGTGGTTTTGGTTACGGGTTAGTGTGAGCTTTCTGTGCGTAAAATTGAGGGTACTTCGTGCGGAGATCAGTGAATGGATATTTCATGTACAATGCAAGAGAGATGTCCATCTTCATTGGAATTCAGGATGTGAATTCCAATGAAGATGGCTTGTTTATAAGGAGAGAAGCAAGATAGATTGATGTAAACTTAATGACATCAGGGAATGTTTGCCTGTAATGTTTGAATGACACGGATATTGAATAACATGAAGTTAAGTGGAAAGAATGGCATAATATATTCGATTTGTACACCATCCTATTGAATTTTTTGAAGCTAAAACTAATATAATCTAATTAACAGGGTTTTTTTCTCCAATTATCATAACAAGAGAGAAAAACATACTTTTATAATAACTTCCATTATTTCTTTATTTGATCCACGAGACCGAGTAGTCCAGCCCTTGTGAATCTGTATGTTCTCCAGATTTCATTGTCAGGGCCTATTAGGGGGGGGGGGGGGGGGCGGATCTAGCTTTTTGCTAAGGGGGGGGGGGGTTGTCCCTATGACGATGCAGAGCATCGCCCACGAGCCGCATAGCGGCGAGGCGATTAACGCATTTATAAGATGGATTTTTAATTTTTCTTTCTCTCTCGCTGTCTCACTGCATTATAAATTTTTCATTTTCACGACATCAACATCTCTCACCATTAAACAGTTCTCTCATTTCCTTTCCTTTCTCTTTTGCTCTCTCTCTCTCTCTGAAATCTCACGTTCTGTTTCCAGATTTTTTCCACATATGATTCCATTTATCCAACCATATATGCACACTAAAAAGAAAAGATATGAAGGGAATACTGTATATAAGATAATAAACATGTTTAATTTATTCATTTTATTACAACAAACTAATATGTTTACAGATTATAACATTGATGGTCAAATATTAAGCACAAATGACCTCATCTGCTACTTCCATTTGTAGATTACTTTTTTCTTTAAAAATTCAACAAAGCATACTTAGGCTAAATCTGAGCACTGTTTTTTTCTCCAGGGAATGTATTGTATCATGACCTGCACCCTTATTATAAAACACATTATAAAAACATGCTGATTTCTTTAAAAAAAAAAAAATACCTATGACTCAATGATTGCAATTTTTTCCAGAGAAACAATAATACTGTACAATAGTATATAACATCCTTTAGTGTGATGGTTACTCCGTGGTCCACACACGCACCAAGGTATATCAGACTCATAGGCCCATTCCCAAATGTTATAATTATTATCAATAAACAGAAATTGATAAAAGATGACCCCTCCCCAAAACTCTTATATTCCAAAAGTTTGATCTTGTCTGACAGGTGGTAACTTGAGTACTTGACTACATCTTATTTGCCCTATAGACACATACTTAAAATGGATGCCTTGGCAAAGCCTCAGTTTTATAAATGATTGACTTAGACTGCCGATGAACATATTTCTTGTGTATTTATCTACACCATTAACTTTTCTCCACATCATGCTGTCAGATTGAGATGCTTTGGTGTGATATACTTAATGTTTTACATCATGTTTTTAATGAACTCCTACCTTGCTTAGTTATGCAGACATTGGGCCCTTTTTTTAAAACTTGCGATAGCAGTGGAAAGGATGTGCATAAAAGAAGAGGCGGGATATCCATAGTTACTACTACCATGTACTACTACAACATGGGTAAAATTGCATCATTGTATTATACCTTGGTTCCTGGTTACCTCTCCTTGGTAGTTTGAAAACTATGTTTCAGTACCGGTAATCATTGTAATAGTGTTTCTGTTTCATGGTGTCACTGGTGTGGTTGTGTGTATGAAGGCCAAATTTTCTACTTTCCTGCTTCGCCTGTCCACAATCACTAAACAATTTGAGCTGAAATACAGGGCCTTATATACAAGGTGATTAAAAAATTAAACATACTGCTTGCAAGGTGAAGTTACACGTACTGCTTGAAGAGAATTGTGAATGATATTTATCTATTGGGAGTTTGACCAAATCCAGGTTCAAAAATTTCAGCTTCGGAGGGGGGGGGGGGCATTACCCCTCAACCCCCCCCCCCCCTGTGCGCGCTTTTGACTGATGTGTCCCCCCAGGAGTGGCGGAGCGTCTTCCAAAGTGGGGGGGGGGGGCACCAACAAAATAGGCACTTTCTGGAAAAAAAAGGGAATCTCAAAGCGAAAATATCCATTTTTTTAGACAATGGTATATACCCCTACATTGTGATTACATTATCAGGGACGATTTCAACATTTGTTTCTCTTTATACACCATACAAGATATTGCTTAAGTATCAGTTTGGTGTGATGGTATGCAAATTGATTTGCGAGCGAGGAAAATTTTAAGTTTTGTGAGGTCGCAGTACAAAAAATTGCATCTTATTAAGAGGGAAAAACCCAATCCTGATGAGGTTATAAGCACATTCTTACAATGGAAGACTGAAAAGACCTTTAATAAGTAACGTAATTATATCATCTATAAATGCGAGCGAGCTTTGGGGGAACTTACTCTTAGTCGCTTGAAATTAGGGGCGCGTTTAATGATGAGAGGAAAAGGGGACACTACAGGGATAAGGGGAAAAGGAGCATGTGTCAGGTAAAAAGGGTAGTTATCAGAGGTGAAAATGGGGCACTTCTTAGACCTACAGAAAGAGGCACTCACCAGGAATGAAAAAAGGCACTTATCAGAATGGGAATTCTCACGTGATTGGGAATACTTGATAACCCTATAGTCTAAGTTTCATTGACTAAAAACTTAAACTTTGAAAATTATATCAAAATTCAATTTTGATGTTGACGCCGTCACCGCCGCCGTCACCGGAAAAGCAGCGCCTATGTCTCACTTTTTGCTCGTAGGCGAGACAAAAAGGGAGGTGCAGATCAGATTTTAATAGGGGCATTTATTGGAGGTGAAAGGGGGCTTTTATGAGAATGGGGAAGTGGCTCTTATTAAAAAGAAAAAGAGGCACATGTTAAAGTAAACAAGGCACTTATGAGAGATGAAAAGGGGTAATTATGAGAAGGGTAAGGGGTACTTATGATCAGAAAAAAGAGCATTTATTAGGAAGGAAAAGGGGGCGTGTCAAATAAAAGTGGCAGTTATTAGAGACAAAATGGGACACTCATCAGAGATGAAAAGAGCACTAATCAGGAGATGGAGGGGGCACTTATCAAAAGTGAAAAGGGGCATTTCTCGTAGTTGAAAAGGGGCACTTACTAGAGATTAAAAAGGGCAGTTATGAGAATGGAAAATGAACACTTATTGCATAGAATAATGGGAACTTGTCGAAGGATAAGGGGCACTTATCAGAGGTGAAATGGGGAAGGGGCAATTTTACAAATTAATAGGGGAACTTGTCAAAGTAATATGGCACTTTACCTATGTGAAAAGGCCATAAAAGGGGCATACTGGGGGTACTTGAAAAAGTGGGGGGGGGGGGGGGGCACTGACCCCTCCCCCCTGGCTAACAACATATCTCCGACACTGGTTATGAAGTTTATAATACCAAGGTTTTGATACCCAGTCGCAGCTACAGCAGTTCATTGAAGAGGCTAAGTAGAACTTCATAGTCCATACTGTACATGTATGTCTGTTGAATGAAAAGAGAAGAGAATGAAAGTTAAACATTGATACTACCTACATCATACATGTATCTCTGTTGTAACATAAAAATGTCTTGCATGTACATTGTAGGCCTAGGCCTCAAATTTTTTCATGTGGAATCATACATAGCCATCCCATTAATACATACTTCTCAAACCAGCCCTTCGCATCCCCTCCAGCTTGGCCTTGACCTCACTCATTTCAAAATGTTGTTTTACTTGAAAAAAAAAAAACAGATCAAGTTAGATCAAAAGTAAATATGTTTACCTTCTCTTGTGGTGGTCTGTTTTCTCCAGGACATTCTTGTTTCAAGCACATACTCCAAGAAAGCAAGCATTTGGTACTGCATGCATTAACTGCGACAAGTGTCTCTGTACATTTTCCTGTAAAAGAGAGGGGGGATTTAATTCTTAGAATAAAAGGAAATGAGCATGATCATTTAAACATTGATGAGCATTTGCAGAATTAACTGTTCTATTTTAATTTGGATTTTCTCTTTACCAAAAAAGCCCTCCTTCATTATCTAACATTGAAATTTATATTCAATTCCTTGATCCAGATCTAGTTGATCTACAGTCTCTAGATGATCTAGATGCATGTCTTGTAACTGTTCATTCTATCAAATTGAAAAAACGCAAAATAGATATGGACCTAGATCTATATATGACAGAGAAAAAAAGAGAGAGAGAGAGAGAAGGAAAAGAAGGAAAAAAGGAGAGAAAGGGAAAGAAAGAAGAGGAAGAAGAAAAGAAAATGGGGAAAAGGAGATCGGGGGGCCGAAAGGGCCTTGCCTCCCAGCTGTAACCTCTCCCCCTCCCCCCATCAAAAAATAAAAGAGAAGGAAGGAAAGGGAAAGAAAAAAAGTAAAGAGGGGATAAAGAGAAGGAAAAAAGAGGAAGAAGAAAAGAAGGGGGAAATCAGTTGCAATTTTCCCGCCAACAAGTTGTAGTTCGGGGGGGGGGGGGGGGGGGCAAAGGCCCTTGCCTCCTCCCTCCCCCCCCCCAAAAAAAAAAAGGAGAAGGAAGGGAAAGGGAAAGGGATAGAGGAGAGCTAAAAGGGAACAAAAAAGAGGAAAAAGAAAAGAAAAGAGAGATAAGAAGGGGAGAACAGTTGCGATTAATCCCGCCAACAATGTGTGGATCGGGGAGGGGGGGGCCAAAAGGCCCTTGCCTCCCCCTAGCAAACCTAAAACAGAGAGTAGGAAGGGAAAGGAAAGGGAAATAGGAGAGAAAGGGAAAGAAAAAAAAGAGAAAGAAGAAAGGTAGGGGAGATCAGTTACGTGTAGATCGGGGGGGGGGGGGGGGGAGGGACACTGGCGTACTGATGGGGAAGGGGACTTGGGGGGGGGGGTTAACAGATGCCCCCCAAATATAATTCAAACGTGGTTTATTTCTAATTCGATACCGGTAATTACCGGTGATTTACAAATGTTGCTGAAATGACATAATTTTCCGAGATTTTTCCTTAATGTTTAATAAATTATACTTTTTAATGCGTTTGTGGGACAATGGCAAATTCATAAAGAAAGAAAGAATAGTGACGCCAATTAGTGTCCTGCCAGTGTCACAAATAAGTTATGCTAATATGCTCATCTGACCGCAATTAAATGCCTATACCCCTGAGCTTCTGGGGGTTCCACCCCTTGACCCCCGCACGTTCTTTGCCCTTAGACACCACGCCAATTTCACAACGCTCTACTTGATCGAGTGGGGTGGTGCAGATTTTTTTCAAATTTGGGCTCCCCCTAAGAAATCCTGGATCCGCGCCTGTTCACAGGTAGTCCAATTATTTACTGGTCTGTAGGCCTATAGGCCTCAAATTTTCTACTCTCGTACTCGTCTAACTATCTCGGTATCTGGTCCAAATTTTGGCGCTTGTTCACAACTCATGTCAACTGTGACCATGCTTTTTAGTGTTAGCTATTAACTTTCTTCTGACCCAACTATGAAAGTAGTTTTTCAACAGTTGGACCTAAAAGTAACAAAAAGCTTGGATCATTGATGCAGCTAGCGCTAGTGAAGTGATCTGCCTATAGACCCTATACTCGTATCTAATTTTCAGAGAGGGTCTCGCCCGAAAGTTTGGGCCAAGGATCAAGGAGTGACGATGGCAATCGAGCTGAAATATTCTCACGACGATAAATAACGAATCAAAAGTTCGAGTGTATATTACTCCTAAATTCATCAGATATAACCATTTTAAACCACTTCACAATGTACAGACAAATCAGCAGATTCATACCTACAGCAGATATGTTTATAAATATGATTCAATTTACGAGATTTGAACGTAATTACAGCTGTACTCACCATCAAACTTTCAAAGAAAACCTCGAGCTCTCACTCTGTGTGGGTGACGTCATACATTAAATATGCACGCAGCGAAAGTCTTGTCTTCTTCTTCTTCTTCTTCTTGATTTGTTTTTGTTAGGCAATCAGTCACAGTTGACTATTTTTGCCACACACTATTTTACATACACGTTTCGCTGCATCTTTACAGACCAGAAAACCTCAATTCATCATGGCTCCAACAGCTCAAGTTGCTAAGAAAGGCTCCAAGAAGGCATCAGATCAGGCAATCGTAGCCTACATAAAAACTTCCATCACAGATAGAAAAATTTCTTATTAAAATAATGAGGATGATTACAGTTATCAATCATTATAACCAAATCTGCATACAAATAAGAAGGAGAATGGTGATACAGAGACTTATTTACCGCACGTAGGATTTCTGATAAGAATGCACAAAGAACACAAAATGGAAAGGTGCCTGGAATAGAGGATAATAATATCAGTCAAGCTCATGAATATTCATATTATGGGCGTTACTAACCATTGACATTTGCATACACAATCGTTATTTAATATATAATGGAAATGCGCTTTTCATTATATATTATATAATGGAAATGCGCTGTTCATTATATATTATATAATGGAAATGTGCTTTTCATTATATATTATATAATGGAAATACGCCTCTCATTATATATTATATAATTGAAATGTGCTTTTCATTATATATTATATAATGGAATGTGCTTTTCATTATATATTATATAATGGAAATACGCTTTTCATTATATATTATATAATGGAAATGTGCTTTTCATTATATATTATATAATGGAAATACGCTTTTCATTATATATTATATAATGGACATGTGCGTTTCATTATATATTATATAATGTACGCTTTTCATTATATATTATATAATGGAAATGACTTTTCATTATATATTATATAATGGAAATGTGCTTTTCATTATATATTATATAATTGAAATACGCTTTTTATTATATATAAATAATGAAAGTGTGAATTGTAATTATTTATAAATAATGGCAATTATATATAAATAATGAAACGTTCTTTGTCATTATTTATAAATAATAAAAATGTGTTAAGAATTATATACAAATAAAAATGTACATTTTCTTGCATTATATGTAAATAATGGTTATTATTTGTTAAATAATGATTATATAACATATAATTTGTCTATATAATTGTTTTACAAACGGCGCCTCATATTTATTGAATATTTACCTCTGTAGTGAGAAGTGTTATTAAAGCTAAAGACCAGTTATGGTCATGCGATTGCATTGTGAAAGAAACATTGTGAAATCGATCAGAAAAGGTTGATCATCTAGCATAGATGTACTGCAAGGTTCTGGAATCATCAAAATGATCAGAAAGATGTATATGGGAATACACACACGTGCGTGACACGTGCATTTGTATCTCTCAACAGGCAAGAGATACACTAATTTACTAAATATATTGATTAGTAGGCGGTTTCCCGTCAACATTTTTATCATCATGTATTATTCAAAACATATTCTTTCACATGATTGGTAATAAGAGCTTCCATTTTATTTTTTGAAATTGGGGCGTTTCCAATACTGGTCTTTACCTTTAACCTGCTTAGTCATGTTTTGCTCATTGATGACTAATTAGTCAAGCCTTTTGTCTGATATCTAGTATCGGTATACAAATATTGACTGCTTTTCAGGGGTGTGGTTAAAACTATAGCCCAAGGTGATCTCCAGACTGCATAATGCAGGCTGAAGATCACCAGGAAGCTATACCGGAAGTTGAAATCGTGACGCCCCCAAAATAAGCAAAGTATTCTCTTCAATTCTGAGAAAAGTGTGCATATCCAATGCACACATGCATTATTAATTTCTTGCATCCTTGCATTGCATTCATGCCTAAATTCTTGACGTGAGGTATAAATTTGAATACTGTAAACGTTTGCAGTATACGTTAAAGATAAACTTGAGTTCTGGTAAAAAAAAGAAAATGAATTCTCACAGAATCGAACGAAACTTACACTGAATGTTCAAGATTACAAATAAATGTCATGTGCCAAACAATTGTGGAAGAAAATGTATACTGGCTGAGTAATGAGCATAGAAAGATAAGGAAATCAGGGTAGTACCAGCCCCGACACCACGCGTGTTGTCCCATATACATCTTTCTGTGTAAGTGATTGTTACTTTACCAAGACTCTGCCAAATTTATGATGATTTAGATGACTACAGAACCTTGCATTACACACCATTACTTACATGCTACATGATCAACTGTTTCTGATCCTTTCCACACCTTTCCTTTCAAAATGCAATCGCATTACCAGTACTAAAGTTTATCTTTAATCCTGTGAAATGAAAACAGGTTATCTGTGTGTGACGATGGTGATTCATTTTACCACATTGACTTCACATATGAAAATTTACCAGGACCAGTATATATCTTTAAACTCCACAACATTTGAATTGTGAATTATGACTTATATTTTTTGTAGGGTGTTGGGTTGCTATTATTTTTAATAATATTCTTTTTGATTTCAAACTACTATAAAAAGTGAGTGAACCATCCTAATATATCTTAAATTTTGGGGTAACTATCTTAACTTTAATAAAGCATGAATATCATTTACCTCCAATACCACACGTTTTTCTGTTTTCATGCAGGAACTCAATGAGGGGAATCAAGGGCACCAATTTCCTGGACAAGGCAGGGAAGTTAGTAGACCAGCAGCCAGACAGGGTAGAGGATTACAGTGACGATGGCGATGACGACGACGACGGGGATGGAGCGGATGAGGAGGTCGGGAGCGAGAGTTCAGACCCAGAAAATGCCTGGCTGGATCAGGAGAAAAAGCTGGAGAAAAAAACTGAGCAAGGAGTGCCCATGAAGCTTGCTGGTGAGGAGGCTAATGCCTTGCAGAAGGCCAAAGCTAAGGAGGATTCTAGACCTAGCAGTATTCGTATCGTTGGTGGAGATGAACCGGAAACTGGTGGCACCAGTGGGATACATGCTAATGCTCCTGTAATGCGCGGTGATATACCTGTGGTTCGGGATGATGCCATCCCTGGTGGTGGTGGTGGTGGTGGTGGTGGTGGTGGTGGTGTCGGACTGAACCATAGTGCTTCGCATGTGGTGGATGCTAACAGGGTGAATGCAGACGGTAATGGAGATGTCGTCCAGCCCGAGGGCAAAAGCTTCAGGATAACGGAGAATGGAGACCTGGAACCGATGGATGCTAGCAAGAAAGGTGGAAGAGGAAGCACCATGTCGGACATGAAAATCTCTGGCACCGCGAGCAAGTTTAAGCAGAAGTACGACGGCGGAGTGCAAGATCTACTGCGACATCCAGAGGAGCATATGATCAGAGGTATCTTAACCGAAAAGGCAGGCCTGCTTATAGCCTACCTCAAGCTAGCCTATCCGATATGCGTCGGGCTTTACAAGTATAATCGCGTTATGCAGACTGACATCGGCGCGGGCGTCAGCCCGAGCGCCAATCATCACTGGTGCATACAAAAAGTTTTATTTTCTTTTATGTACAATGTTTCGTTCGTAGAAAATCTACGAACCCCCTGTAAAGCTCTTTCATGGATATTTATGTAGCATGGACCAAAATAGGCCAATGAGCGATGAGGAACCTGGAGATGATATTTGATTGGTTGAAACAAAGTGATTGATCACCAAATAAGGCTAGTCGTATGAATCATGCATGAGAATACGCTCGTCACACATACGATACACATATATGAATAATGATAAGTTCACCAGTGATGATAGGCGCTCGGGCTGACTGAGCCGATGTCAATCTCCATAAGCGATCAGTATATTTGCCATAAAGCCTGACGCATATCGGATAGGCTAGCCTCAAAGCCTGCATAGCTGCTAAAGAGCAAACTAATTCCTTCGCAAGCACTGACCTGCAAAAACGCAGAATTAAGCAAAATTAGGCAGGCTTAAAGGGACTTTGTAACATTGTGCAGATGAAAGATAGTGGTGCTAAGGTAGTGACTTCAATGCTAGATGTACAATTAAAGATAATCTGAAAATTTGAGTGAAAACATACAACTATTCATGGTACAAATTGGGAAAAACTGAACTGATCAATTCCTTAATTCTCCCAACTATATTATTACAATTTAATTACATTTTAGGTGAATGTGAATCTTCACAAAGCAATAAAATGGCTCTACATTCCATTCCAGACATCTAAGTGTTGACAGATTTTTTATAGCCTGTTTTATGTCTTTTTTTTCATGGAAAAACGGTTGGGAAAATTCAAAAATGGTTGGCAGAATTGACTGTTAATCACTGTTAGAGGGTGTCGTACATTGACAAAGAAAACCATAGATATCTTTGTGGTTTGAGAATTTTTTCAGGATTTTTCGCATGTCAGAGGGTTAGTAAAGTAGAAGGAATATAGTAAATAACATTTTATACAAAAATTAAGCAATTTTTTCATCAACCTTCAACAATGTTACCGAGTCACTTTAATTTAGCCTGTACATTTTAAAAGCAGGCTTATTTTAGCCTGCTTAAATGGCCTGCAAAATCATTTTAACCTGCTCATTTAGCCTGCAAAATTACCCTGCTTTGTTAGCCTGCCTATTGTCTTTAACCTGCACTAAAAAACACTGAAATATGTAAATTATGCAGGCTAATTCCTTAGCAAGCACTGACCTGCAAAAACACAGAACTATGCAAATTAGGCAGGCTTAATTTAACCTGTACATTTTAAAAGCAGGCTTACTTTAGCCTGCTCAAATAGCCTGCAAAATCATTTTAACCTGCTCATTTAGCCTGCAAAATTACCCTGCTTTGTTAGCCTGCCTATTGTCTTTAACCTGCACTAACCTGCAAAAACACTGAAATATGTAAATTATGCAGGCTAATTCCTTAGCAAGCACTGACCTGCAAAAACACAGAACTATGCAAATTAGGCAGGCTTAATTTAACCTGTACATTTTAAAAGCAGGCTTATTTTAGCCTGCTCAAATAGCCTGCAAAATCATTTTAACCTGCTCATTTAGCCTGCAAAATTACCCTGCTTTGTTAGCCTGCCTATTGTCTTTAACCTGCACTAACCTGCAAAAACACTGAAATACATGTATGTAAATTATGCAGGCTAATTCCTTAGCAAGCACTGACCTGCAAAAACACAGAAATATGCAAATTAGGCAGGCTTAATTTAGCCTGTACATTTTAAAAGCAGGAAGCAGGCTTATTTTACACAATGTAGCCTGCTTAAATAGCCTGCAAAATCATTTTAACCTGCTCAATTAGCCTGCAAAATTGCCCTGCTTTGAATAGCCTGCCATTTGTCTTTAACCTGCACTAACTGCACTAACCTGCAAAAACACTGAAATATGTAAATTATGCAGGTCCGTCCTAAATTTGGGTACACCCAATGCATCCCTTACAGCATGTCTTGTGTTGTGATCATGTAGTGAACTAACATGATGTAAATCTTGTTTTAAATATGTTGGTGCCATGTCATGCATTGATTTATACATCATCACTGCACGTCCAAACTGGAAACGTGTCTGAATAGGCATCCATCCTATTAAAGCGACTAAACATATCATTTGAAGATACTTCAAACCCTTCTCCCAGCACTTCATGTGCAGCTCGTTTCTGAACCTTTTGTAATTTAGTTGTTTGTCTTTGAAATCGCTCAGACCACACCGAGGAACAATAATCAAAATGAGGAAGTACGATGGCATTAAATACAGAAGTTTTAGAGATCTTGTTGGAACATAACTTTTGGCTCGCTTAATTACAATTATATTTCTTTGAGCAGTTTTAATAACTTTTTCCACATGCTCCGTCCAACTTAACTCCTCGTCAATCATGACACCCAGGCATTTTGCCACTTTTACTCTTTTCAAACAGCTGCCGTTTAGTGTGACAGAAAAATCATTTACTTTTAAGAACTGATCTTGGTCCAATAAGCATCACATTTGTCTTATCCGCATTAAGAACTAGATGGTTTGTTGTTACCCATGAAAATATTTTTTCTTTACCTTTGGTTAGCTTTTGTTCTACTTCTGTGACATTACTCCCGCTGACTGTTAGAGTTGTGTCGTCAGCATACATATCAACAATGCCATCATGAATACATTTGGGTAAACTATTTATGTAGATAGAAAAAAGGAGTGGCCCTAGAATCGAACCTTGTGGGACTCCCATCATAACTTTTGAGGAACTCGAAGTAGCCTCTTTCAAACAAACCATCTGTTCTCGGTTGGACAGATATGATACAAACCACTGAATTATCAGAACATCCAATGGCTGTCAATTTATGTAACAGAATATCGTGATCGACAGTGTCAAATGCTTTCCTCAAATCAATGAAAGCAACACCTGTTATCTTAATGTTATCGAAATTCAAAGCCCACTGGTTATATATAATATATATAACATTAAACGTGCATGTGAAAAATAACGTGCATGCTACATGTAATAAGCAATAACAGGTTATATTTGTGTTCTAAAACCTGCTCAGAGGACATTTCTTCAGATTGCAGGTTTGACAAATTATGATCGAAATTTACATGCTAAAGATAAAAACCAGTTCTGGTCATGCGATTGCATTGTGAAAGAAACGATGTGGAGGTTGATCATCTAGCATAAGTACCGTAGTGTGTACTGCAAGGTTCTGGAATCATCAAAAATGATAAGAAATTTAGCCCAGTCTTTGTAAAGTTACAAGCACTGTACACAGAAAGATGTATATCGGACTACGCACACGTGCGTGACACGTGCGTATTATCTATTTGGTCCCAATAGATAAACTAATTTACCAAATATATCAATTAGTAGGCGGTTTCCCGGCAAAATTTAATCATGTATTAGTCAAAACATATTCTTTCACATGATTGTTTATAAGAGCTTCCATTTCATTTTTTGAAAGGGGGGCATTTCCAAAGCTGGTCTTTACCTTTAAACTCCATCTCATCTGGCATGCTAAACATTGTATTTTGCAAAATGCATACTAATTTTTAAATTGTAGGCAGAGATTTAGCCTGCTTAAACTGTAAGACTGTGTTTTGCTTAAAATTTAAACAGGCTAAAACTTAACCTGCTAAAACATGTAAGACTGCTTTTGCAAAATACAGGCTAAAATTTAACATGCAATGGAATAATTAGCATGTATTTAAGAATGCAGGCCAGACGCAGGTTCAAAGCAGGCTAAATAAGCCTGCGTTTTCGGTACGTACATGTACATAGGTTCTACTGTAAATTATGGACAGTTAATTCTACACCCATCAGATAAAGAAAGTGGACACTATCTATTGTTAGGATTTTGAAATTATTATGTAATATTAAGTTATTTTTCTTAAATCAAAATAAACTTAAATTAATCCTCTTTAGTATAATATGCAGGTTGAATCAGACCATTCATGCAAGAGTGAGCATAGCCATTGTAAATTTTAAGATATTTGAATAAAATCAGTGAAAATTTGAACAAAATCGGGCAAGGAATATTAAAGAAGTTAAAGCTTTTTGAAATGACTAGTCACTAGAGAGCGATATTCAATTTGATGCGTCATTTGTGGACAACTGTCCATGCCTTTTGTACTTCAAATTTCACATTTCTTTCGTTTTCTTCGTATTTATTTGTGTTCTCGATCTGACTTCATAACATGTGAAATAGAATATCATTTTGCATTCGATACCGGTATCTTGCTTTCAGGAGAGTAGATTATCTCAATCACAAGAAAGAAGGTAAAACATGAAATTTGAAGTACAAAAGGCATGGAGAGTTGTCCACAAATGACGCATCAAATTAAATATCGCCCTCTAGTGACTAGTCATTTCAAAAAGCTTTAACTTCCTTATTCCTTGCCCGATTTTGTTCATATTTTCACTGATTTTATTCCAAATATTGTAAACTTTACAATAAAAGTAACTTAGTATGAAGGTTTTGGTTCCCTTTAACAATAAATGAGTTACCGGTACTGAAAACAAAATTACACAAGTCCTGGGCGGTGTCGTTAACCTTCTCGTGCTCTTTAAGATGGATGGAAGGTGCATTCTAGTTGTGTTATTCCCATACCATCTTATCAAAGCTAGAAGGGTCTGAGGCCCGTTTCATAAAACTTGTTATCTATAACAACTGCTACATTTCTATGACAATTTGCTCTCATCAGTAGCTTACATGTATAACAGTAGCTTATAACAGTAGCTTGCAACTTGTTATTCAATTCAATTTCGGTTTTATTACAAATACGGTATACCAAATTATGTGTAATCGTCCATGACCTGGCATCGTTTTTCCATTCATGAATGAACCTGCATTCAATCAGCAGATGTATGAGATTTATTGTATTATTACCAACGCTTCTTCTCTCCCCTTTCCTTTTCTTCTCTGCAAGTCGCTCTTTTATGTTTTTTATTTGTATTGTTGTATCTAAGTTGAGGGCTGCGGGCACGTCAAGCTACTTTGCTTATTTCTGTAGCCCTCCTGCATCTAATGTATGTTAATTATGCGTTCAATATATTTGTTTAAATTCAATATATTTCTTTAATATCGTTTATTATCTGTATAAAATTATATACACTTGAAATATTGTATCAAGCCATATTATGTTCATGAAAATGTATGATGAAAAAAAGAAAAAAGATGCAGAAACCAATAAGTCACATCAAATCAAATCAAATAAAAAGTCCAAAGACTAACAATAATGGGCTCACAATGTATCATATAAAATTGCATTAAAAACAGTAGATTTAAAAATTCAGTAATAACTGAATTTTATTACAAATATACCAAATAAAAAGTCCAAAGACTAACAATAATGGGCTCACAATGTATCATATAAAAATGCATTAAAAACATTAGATTTAAAAATTTAGTAATAAGTTAAAGTACATTGCTCACATTGTATCGTATAAAAATGCATTAAAACAGTTGATTTAAAAATTCAGTAATAACTTAAAGTACAAAACAAAAAATGATTGTAAATTATAAAATTGTGATAATCAGTTTGTCAGTGAATTTAGAAGAAAGAAGAAAAAAAGAGTGAAAAGTGGAAGAGGGGGAGAGGGAAAGGATATTACGGTAGAGAAAAAAAGAAAAGAGAGTTCACTTCATGACAACAAAATGTACATGTAAGCAAATGAACGAGAATTGAGTTGAATCAGCTTAATGAAGCATTGTAAAAGTAAATTGCACATAATACTTTTGAATTTGAATTGAATTGAATTTCTTTATTGTCATGCACAAAATAAAATGAAGGCCTAAAAATCATTTTACGGCTCACATTTGTATAAAATATAACAATACATTAACATATCATAGACAATAACTACAAATAACATAAATAACATAACAATGTATTATAATTTAACCTCTCTGTTGAGAGCCAGGGGAATTCTGATATCAAGTTTTATTAAACAACCGGGCCCAGAATTTTGTGTTTATTTGAGGTAACACCTTGCTACATGTAGCTCCAGCTAGGCAATAAACAGTAAGTTGTGCCCTCCTGCTTTCAATAAAAAAGTTTTCTTTTATAAATTTCGGTAGAAACAAAGAGAGACTGTCAACCCAAGAACAACATTGTGATGGTCAAGACGCACAAGTGCTCCAGTTCCACCATGCAGAACATCATCTTCCGCTGGGGTGAAAATCAAAACTTGACCTTCGCCTTCCCCAGGAGTGGCGTCTACCTTGGCAGCCCGCAGCCCTTCACCCGGAATGCCGTCATGGAATCCAACAATGGTCACTACAACATCATTGCCAACCATATGGTTTTCAACCAACAAGGTATGTAGATGCTGCTTGTAAGTGTCGGCTTGCATGGTGATGTAGATATACAGTAGGCTTGCGGGTGCACCATGTGAGAAGTCCTGAAAGGGACTCTCGGTAATCTTTCTTGAGGGTTTGTAGTCCTGAAAAGGACTGGCTCGACGTTTCGAACAGGTTGACTATCCGTCGTCAGGAGTGATAACCAACAGATAACCAACAGTCCTTTTCAGGACTACAAACCCTCAAGAAAGATTACCGAGAGTCATTTTCAGGACTCCTCAATCCTCCCTCTCTCTCACATGGTGCACCCGCAAGCCTACTGTATAAGAAGGTATGTGTTCACTCGTTACCTACTTGTTTTAGCATAATTGTCCAGTTTGCAGTTACAGCTGTCATGTTGACCCATGGGTATAGGTCCATAAAGTGTCTATTTATTGGAAAATGTAATGCCAGGCCAGGAAAGAATGCTGTCATGGAATCCCTCAATGGTCAATACAACATCATTGCCGAATTCCAACCATATGGTTTTCAACCAAGAATGTATGTGTTCACATGTCTCCTTGCTATAAGCGAGTTTGTAAATAGCTCTGGACCGCATGACCCCAAAATATCCACAAATCTTAGACACGATGGATACTTCCCACCTGTGCTTTTTAGAATAAATCACTGCCAAAGTGATGGAAGTGCTTCATGACTACATTTTGTTTTGCCTCTTGAAAAGAATACTTCCACCTGTGTATCACATAGATAAACTTTTGGTGCATAAATGAATACTGATTACATAACTTTCATGAGCACGATCCGAGTATTCCTCTCAATGGTTTTACAATTTGGGTACGAATGACCTTTATCTGCCCATGCGCAAATCCTAATTACGAACTCGCTTATTTTGGCATAATGACTGGTTTGCAGGTACAGCTACCATGCATGTTGACACATGAGCATAGGTCAATAAGGTTTCTTTAACCCATTGCCTAAAAGGTTTCTTTAACCCATTGCCTATAAGGTTTCTTTAACCCACTGCCTACTGGAACCGGGTGGCTCCTGTATTAAGCATATGTGAATGTGAGAATCCAGTAGTCGACAGGTTAATAGGGAAATTTAGTGGCACAAAAGATCATGTCCAGAACACAGGAAGCACACTTGCTGGTGATTTTGGCGATTTAAAATTTGTAATTGGACATATCAAATTTACACTTTTGACATGATTTCACCAAGTCAATGTTGTCGAGGTACACCTTCTTTCCCTGTCCATTTCACTCCTTCTATGTTACATGTATGTCTATTTGGTTTATGTATTTGTGCGTTCCTTTATTATTGATATACTATTTTTGCAACTATAAGTTATAGGGGGCTGCAATCTATAAGCCCAGCTTTTCAGCAGTCCCTTCCATGACCAACCTGTTTTATATGCGTGTTGTACACTGTGGACCAATTACAAATATATTGTTAAGTTTCATTGTTTTACTATGTACAATGCAATCCCATGTACTTTATTTATTTTGTTGGAAATGGAAATAAACGAAATGAAAAATGAAAAAATATGTAAACCATATTTTGTCTCTTCTTCTTTTGTTCTTGCACACAGCCACCGAAGATCTGATGCCTGCAGACTCGGTTTACATTGCCCTCCTGAGAAACCCAGACACTCAGTATGAAAGTATGTATAACTACTACCGCTTCGACGGCAGGTACACCGTGACCCTGGAGCACTTCCTCAAGAGACCACGCCTCTACTTTGAGAACGAGCCGCATTTCACCAAACAAGTCGGTCGCAACCCAATGCTGTTTGACATCGGGATGGACGCGCGCCGTAGGGAGAAGGATGATCCCGGAGTCACGAGATACATCCAGGAACTTGCCCAGCGGTTTGATGTTGTTCTTATAGCAGAATACTTCAAGGAATCCCTGATTCTTCTGAAAGAAGCCCTCTGCTGGGATATGGATGACATCGTTTTCTTCAATCAAAACGCCAGGAGCAAGGTCTCGGTGAGACCGCCCACAGATGCAATGAAGCAACGCATACGAGCCTGGAACAGCGGGGACACCACCTTGTACCAGTTTTTCAATAGAACCCTGTGGGAGAAGATAGAGGCGTTTGGTTACGTTCGCATGGCACGTGAGGTCGCGGAGTTGGAGAGACGGAACGCCGAGCTGACGCAGCTATGTATCGGTGCTACCAAGCAAGCAGGAGATAAAAGGGTGTATTACCCACCTGGTGTTCATGTCAAAAGCTTTGTACTTAATAGCAATGCTCATGGTAACCATCTATGTGAGCAAATGACCAGACCGGAACTCACCTACATTGGTCTCTTAAGACAAAGACAAATTGACCTTGATAACAGCAGACCAGGGAGGTAGTATTCACCTACATGCATTCAGCCCTTTTAAACAGTTTTCATTGCCTCTTGTACAGTGTGTATAGATGTAATTTAGACTATTTCATCATATTTTCCTGTGATTGAACATTTCTACAGTACTGTATATAAGCCATCAGCTCAAAAAGTTCTGCACAGCGCATTGCAGGATGTAAAATTCTAATAAATTTATTAACATCTATTCATGATTAAGCTACAGCTGCTGCTCGATTTGTGTGTACTGAACTGTGAATCAAAGACAAAAACAGTAGATATAGGTTTAAATTCACAAATCACCAATACATGTTTTGCTCGGCTCGCTCGCATGTACACAGAACGGTAGCGTGCATGCAGCCTTATGGCAGGCTATGAGTTAATAGTGTAGTCAAAGAGCTTCAAATATTTCTTCTACAAAGAATTATTGCAGTTTAAATACACTTCCAGTGAACTGTAAAAAAATGTTATGAGTAGACTACTTAATACACTTACGATTTTTGAGCTACTGTAAACATTTTAAACAAGTTTACAGTTTACAGTGTTGCACAAAATGAACGCTTTCTGTGTGGTTTGTATTTCCCTAGCAAGATAGTAAAATGAACCGTTTTTATACTGCAAATGACTCTTATATACCTAGTTGAGCATGCATGTACAGTACTTGTGTACTGTGTACCAGTACTGTATATTAAAGCACAGTTGCTGCCTCTTTGACTTCATCAGGGTACATATCAAGTGTTAAGAGCGAGGAGGGCTTAACTCAAATACTTTGACACAGAATTAATGCCCTTCTGGCTCCAACCAGGGAGTGTTTCACAAAGACTAAGAGGCTGTTCAGACCGGCAGAGATAGCGCGGTCTAGTGCGTGCTATCTCTACAGTGTGGAAGGTACAATGTCTTTTCGGGTTGACCAACAGCGAGCCAAAACGGCGTCCTACTGGAGCACCTCTTGGGGGTGGTCCACGAGAGATAGCGCGTGCTAGAAAAAAGGGGGTGCTACGATAGATCTCATTGTGGTGAGCCTCTAAGATCGACTTTAAGTTGGTCTTAACTATGACGGGCCTTTTATGCCACTAGTTGCACTCACCATTGGTCTCGCAATTATGATCTATAGATTAAAACAAATTCCTTCAATAATGAACTATCAAAAAATGTAAATTCTGTAGATTTGTGACCATTATTTTATACGTCCCTTGAGAAAACAATGCAAGGAATGGTTTGAGGAACTAGTGGCATGAACTGCCTGTCATAGTTTCTTAGTCGTTGTGAAACACTCCCCAGACGATATCATCTGGTTGGAGCAAGAAAGACATTAGGGACTTTTAGATTTGCACGTCGACAGCTTTGACTGCAACGTGTGACGTCATTTTAAGGCACTGCGCATGCATCACGTCGTCTCAGTCGGCGATCGAGAATGCGTCAACCTTGATTTTCCTAAATCTTGTACGGTACTAGTATATGCCGCGTGCGCATACAATATACAGTTCCTCAGGTAAACAAAGGAACATCCCTTCCCTGCTTTCATGTAAAAATGTGTAGAACAGGTGTCGCATGCATATTCACCTGTTCTACACATCTTTACATAAGGGATGTTCTACCACAGCAATTGTTGAGGGTAGAATGAGGAACTGTATATTTTGTCCTCTTTCTTTGTCCGTCATGTATATAGTGTTCCTGCATGCATGTATATCGTCGAGTGCAATCTAAAAGATTTCTAATTGTAGTCAACATGGGCAGTTGAGTAGGTTGACACGCATGATCAGTCGGCGTTCGTCGTGTTCTCGTCCACTCAATCTAAAAGTCCCTAATAACTCTGTGTTAAAGTTTATGATTTAACGCCTCTCTAACTCCACATAGACATCATGAGGCATTCAGACTTGAAGGTTTTTCCAGGTTTTTGTAGAGGGTGGATTCTGTGCCAGTCGCTGAGGCTATTTGCAGTGTCTGTTTTGCATGCTTGAATGATCATTCTATGCTGTTGTTGTTGTTTTAGCTTGAAACATCTATAACGAGACATTCACTTCAAAGAGGGTAAAACCCATATTATTGTTGACTTAAACAGAGTGTGTGTGTGTATTGGGTTTTTACAGACATGTATCAATCAGATATGATTATTTACGTCTGGGGACCGACCTTTTAAACGTCACCATCCGAAAGACATGACTTGGTTTCGAACCTGCGTCCTCGGCTGAATCAGTTTGTAACTTCCACTTTTAGCTGGATTGCAGGTGCATGCCACAACGCTTAGTTAACTTAAACAGAAAACACACAGATAATATTTTAAAGGTACTATATCTCTTTTGCAGCCAACCTCAAATTCTGTAGAATTTTGCAGGAATTAGGAATATGTCATGTATGTTCTATCTGTGAAATTTAAACGTTAGCAGTGTCTTAATATTCAAATTATGCAAGGAAACCCCTTTACTTGCTAGACTTCACTGACAGACACTATTGAGTGACTGACTGGATTTTTTTCTTCTTTGGTAATAACATACATAAAATGAGCTGTAAGGGGTACATGAGCTTTTGTCTACATCAATAACCCACTTCTTGTGATGGCCAAAATTAAACTGATTGAATCTTTGCGTAGCACAAAATGTATGACCATTCGGTACAATGGTCTGAAAATCAAGACTATTACTTATTGGCTCTATAGCTCCTAAGTCAATTTGACTACTAATAGTCGTTATTTTCCCACTTGAAGACATTTTCAAGCCAAACCTTTTATAGGGAAGTTCTAAATTAGTATTATCTTTAAAATGCCTTTGGAATTTAACCTTTTCATTTTTTTGGCCTGCAAATGGGACATAGTACCTTTAATGGCATCTAAAGTTTTTATATTTCAGTGTACATGTACATGTATGTGCTCATTCATGTGTATCAAGAGTAGTGTGAAATAATTGTTAAATCATTGTTTCACAAGCGTCAAAAGTACAGTACAGTATATTTATATTATATTTCAGATTGAATGAAATAATATATGATTAATAATGGAGAATTGGTTATATAATAAGAATGTCAGTCATGCCAGGTGAATGAATGTGATAATGAATAATGAAATAATGTATGATAATGATGAATAAATGATGGATGGATAATCAGGTTTTATAACTTTTATGTCAACCATTCCATGAGGAATTACGCCAAATAAAAATAAAAACATGTTTAGCGTCCTGTTTTTTTTTGAAAAATAGGAAGGAGGAGGCCCTTTTTTTTTTTCTTCTTTCAAAATGGCCGCTCAAAATGGCCGCTCGGTACATTTTTCCGGTAAGTCAGGCTATTTTTGAAGATGTCCGCTGGTATTTAAAAAAAAAAAAAAATCAGAAATAGGTCATTTTAGCAGTACCGGTATGTTTTTCATCTTTTAATTCATTAAAAAAAAAGGCTTCCCCCAAAAAGGACGCTAAACATGTATATTTTTTTAATTGGCCTTGATATGTTGCAGTATTTATAATGGATGAAAGTGAAATGATATTTGTTGATACAGTATTAGATAAGTAATGGATGGCTAATCCGTTTCTATGAATTCTATAAATCAATCATGCCAGGATGAATTAATAAGTTACATTATTTATCAGAATGGATATGATTTTGTTTGATCATGAAATATAAATTCTGATAACAAATTGTGACGTTAAAAGGGTTACACCCCACCCCCCCCCCACCTTTTACCGTGCTGTAAATTATGAATGCTGAAAAGCAGTATTGAGAAAGTAACATAGTATTAAATTATCTTTCGTAGACCATTTCATCATGAAATCATTCTGCAGATTATAAAACATGCAGCTATTGACAGTTCTTCCAGAAAATATATACCGCTACATGTAGTTTCCTAAATGGCGATAGGAAAGACTGCAAGTGGTACCTTCGAGCATGACATAGTTTTATTTCATAGAGTAATTTGGTGCAATTTTAATTGATCATGTTATTGATATGTGGGCATAGTTGACTGTGATAAAGTGAAAATGACATATAAGCAGTTTGCCTCTTTTTAAAAACATTTTTTAATGATATATTGTAAATTTATAAATTACCTTCCTCACTACCATGGCAATGAAGGGAGTGCTATGCTATACATTTTGTGTGTCTACATATTTCTTTCCAAAATACGCATCAGATATAATCTAGTTTTAAAATATGCCCTTCCATCCAATTTTGTACTTCTTACATTATACTCTCAAATTGATATGAAATGATATTACATTTTCTCATTGAACTATCAAATGGTACATTGAGTGATTTCAAGTGGGGTGTTTAGGGCTGGTTTTAGTGTTAAATAAACACGAACACCAGCCCTAAACACCAAAGTGGAAATCAACTGGTGTTAAGGCTTTGACCTCTGAATATTGTCAACTTCTGGTAGCTAGTGTTATTGATTTTGCAAAATTGTCGTCTGCTGAACCGACCTTTGTGGCTGGTGTTAATATTTTACGTACAAATGTCCTATTCTAGCCCCTAGGGATTTAGCAAATGTTGATTTCCAGTTCGGTGTTAGTGTTGTACCCGCACAACAGTCAACGCACGAACGATGCTAATTTATTGTCTGAAGATCAAATACAAATATGTGAAACAGGTCCTTTACTATGTGATCCATACATTCTTTTGTGTAAGATGAGTTATTTTATAAGACCAGAGAAATAAGTTTAATTTATTCTGTGCTTTTTATTCTGTGCTTTTTATGATATCTTTAGTTTTCATGTAATATTTTTAAATCATCTTTGTGAAATCAAGTCTGTGTGGCAAAGTCACAGGGCGCACAGTGGTGTTAAGCTATCGATATTGTTTTCGGTATCGAGCTCTTAATTTCATCAGCAATTTTTTTGCTCGATTTAAGAGCTCTTGACTGCCCTTAACACTAACACCCAACTTGAAATCACTCATTGCATAGTATAGGCAGGGAGAAAGTCACATCTCCCTGGTACAGGTACACGTATCTACAAATGCAATTCTCTGCTATTATATTCTGCATATGAAGATTCTAGGCCTATGATTGGTCGAAGCTGCAGGCGTGAAATATGCTACTGACTGCTGGGCATGCGGAATAGCGAAAAATATTGACTGGGCAAAGTTTTGCTTGTGCGTACAGTGCAAGGATGCAATGGTTGCGCATGAAGGTTAAAGAATAGATATATGCTTTTTTGGGGGGTCACAGGTAAAACTGTATCTCCTCAGTGAGACACGTAGCATACTGCCTATCATCTATACAGTGTATGTGAACTTTTAAAATACTGGTATGTACAAAAATAAATAAATGAAATTAATGATTAACACGTTAAAGATGTTCATGCGAGGGTATACAGATGTTCGTGCGGACGTACGCACAAAGGGACACTATTAAGCGCGGGGGCGTAATACCCGTTGGCTCAGTGTGCTGCCCTCTGTATACCCACGCATGAGCAACTTTAACAGTTATACGCCTTGTACATATAAAGCCTCGTACATTAATTAGGCTGCACCTTTAGAAACGATTGATACATTACACCATCAGGCTTTCTTTACTCTTTATTTTATTTTCATGTTCGATGTATATTTTTTGTGTGTGTTAGGAGGAATGCCCATGGATTTGCATTTTAATGAGAACAAATACATGTAAATTTATATGATTTATGTATTAAACATGACGGACCATAATTGTGATTTAAATGTAACAATTGATTTAAAGTGCTTTAAGTATGCAGTATTTGTTGCACAGCTCATTGTTTTTGTATTGATGTTTTTATTTACATAATTTATAATGGTTACCGGTAGCAAATTTTGAGGCAAATGGTGAAATCATGTTCGGTTGTTTTTTAATCAAGTACAGTAATAATATTTTTCTGTCCTTTATTAAAGATAATCTTGAGTTCTGGTAAAAAAAGAAAATGAATTCTCACAGAATCTAACGAAACTTACACTGAATGTTCAAGATTACAAATAAATGTCATGTGCCAAACAATTTTGGAAGAAAATGTATACTGGCTGAGTAATGAGCATAGAAAGATAAGGAAATCAGGGTAGTACTAGCCCCGACACCATGTGTGTTGTCCCATATACAGCTTTCTGTGTCAGTGCTTGTTACTTTACCAAGACTCGGTCAAATTTATTATGATTTTGATGACTCCAGAACCTTGCAGTGCACACCAATGCTTACATGCTACATGATCA